CATCTTTCTTGCCCTTGCTCTTGTTCTTAAACTTGTCTTTCTTGGGCTTTGTGCATTGGTGAGCTAGATGACCAAGTTCTCCATAATTATAGCAATCCATCTCGGAGATTGGCTTCCTTCTAGAGCTAGTGAAGAACTTCTTGCCATCGAACTTGATGCCACTCTTGTTTAGCTTTTTTAGTATCTTGGCGGTTTTTCTCACCATGAGAGCAAGACTTGCATCAACTTCATCATCACTTGAACTCTCATACTCAAGTCTTGCTTTACCCTTCTCTTGACTAGCTTTGAATGCTAAGTCCTTGTCTTTCTTCTTGTTAGAGGATGAGACATCTTGAGGTGTGATGTGCATGTACATCTTATGAGCATTGATTTTTCCCAAGATTTATGTCGGTGTAGCGGTAGAAAGATCACCTTGATGAAGCACGGTCACAATATGCCCATAATTGTCAATGGGGAGGACACTCAAGATCTTTCTTACAATATCGAATGGTTACATTTGAGTAAGTCCAAGCCCATTGACTTCCTCTACAAGAACATTCAAACACGAATACATTTCATTAGCACATTCTTTAGGAAGCATTTCAAAAGAGTTAAGCTTTTTCATGACAAGATGATAGCGTTCCTCACGCTCACTCTTTGTTCCCTCATGGAGCGCACAAACATCCAACCATAGTGCATGGGCATCTTTGTGGTTCCTAACTCGATTGAACACATCTTTACAAAGGCCTCTAAAGATGGTGTTTCATGCCTTTGCATTCCATTTTTCGTAATTCACCTCATCGCCTTGTAGGTGTGTAGCATCCTTAGGTTTTGTGAAGCCTTGTGAGGCGGCTCTAAGTATTCCAACATCTAGAGCTTCTAAGTGCGCCTCCATTCGAATTTTCCAATAAGAAAAATCGTCCCCCTCAAAGATAGGAGGAGGTCTATCCCCGTGAGACATCTTTCTCTAGGCGGTTAAGCCTAAATACGTGAGCATGAGGCTCTGATACCAATTGAAAGGATCAAGTTGGGGGTGAATTAGGCTAATTCTAAATTTCTTTGCAATAATTAAACTCTACGGTTAGCCCAATTAACCCCTTGTGCCTAGAAAGTGTTTCTATTGATCTAACGCATAAAAGTTTAGCACCCTAAGTTTCAATCCTACTTTAGTATGGCAATTCTATGAATGTAAATGACAAGAATTGAATTGCTCAAAGTAAATGCTCAAAGTAAAGAGTGAGGAGGAACACGGCGATGTTTTGCCGAGGTATCGGAGAGTCGCCACTCCCCACTAGTCCTTATTGGAGCACCCGCGTAAGGGTGTAGCTCCCCCTTGATCCACGCAAGTATCAAGTGCTCTCTACGGGTTGATTCTTCGACACTCCGTCGCGGTGAATCACCAACAACCGCTCACAACTTGAGTTGGGTCATCCACAAGCTCTCTTGATGATCACTAAGCTCCCAATTACCACCAAGCCGTCTAGGTGATGGCGATCACCAAGAGTAACAAGCACGCATTCTCACTTGACCACGACAAGCCTAATGAGAAGGGTGGATGCACACTTTGCTACTCTTGATCTCACTAATTAGGGTTCTCGTTGGAATTCTCAAATCTCAATCACCTCACTAGGACCTTACTCTTTTTGGCACTCTCAAAGGTGTTTCCCAGCTGTTGGAATGAGCAAAAGTACCCCCACACACGAATGAAGGTGGTATTTATAACACCGGCTGAAAAACAAACCGTTATGTGCCTCTGCGGGGTGACCGGACGCTCCGGTCATGTTGACCGGACGCTTCGGTCAGCTCACCCCGAACTCCAGTGTTTAAAGTGTGACTGAACACTGGCCAGCGTCCAGTCAGCACTGACCGGACGCGTTCGGTCGTGATTTTCCATCTCTGGAACCTTACTAGAGTTGACTGGACGCTGGCTCTCAGTGTCCAGTCACTTCATCTCTCAGTGTCCGGTCGCACGAGACGAAATCACCTTGGTCAAATGAACTGACCGGACTCTGAGCCAGTGTCCGGTCACACTGAAGCCAGCGTCCGGTCATTTGACCCTCCATTCACTTCCAATTCTCGATCATATGTGAATGAAGTTTGCTCCATTAGATCTAAGGGCTATTTTGGAGCTACCTAGTGCTAGTTTTAGCAAGTGTGCACCGTACCTAACCCACTAGACTCACCTAGGTCAAGCTACCCGCCCATACCCCCTTAATAGTACGGCTAAAGGAAAAATAAAGTCCTAAACTATTCTAAGTGTCTCTTCAACACCAAACGGCACTTAGAACTAGTCCATCCTTAACCTTGTCGTCCATCATTTGAAAACCGAAACGATTTCCATCGTGGGGGCATGACCACCATGATTGCCCAATCGATCTCCATTACCATGACCTAACTTAATTACCTCTGCAAAACACACGTTAGTCACAGTAATCACGTATTATCATTAATCACCGAAACCCAACTAGGGGCCTAGATGCTTTCAAAGCGTTTGTAGATGCAAAATAATTATGACTTAAATAACTTATTATTAATTTATTTAGTAGCCTTTTTGGCCCCATAAACAACGTAACTTTGTGTTTTTTCCTTTTTGGCCACATAAATAAAGCAGAGGATAAAGCACATGTACATGGTCGTTTTTTTTCATCATTTCTTACAAACATGTTTAGATTTTTATTTTTCACCTTTTTTGTCATACATTATGTGGATTTAGAGGATTGCCTGTCCCTCATGTGTGAATTGTGTGGTTGGGCGTTCCTTGGTTTTATTTCCACCTCCACGTTACAGCTGTGATCATTCACAATATAATACTATAAGTAATGCAAGGCGTTTGAAATTCCAATCCGGTATACATAGAAGGACCGGTGCTCTATTGGACCGCTTAACGTACCTGGCCCATTAACCAAAGAATTCAATTTCTACTTTAATTAATTGAAAAACCGAATCCAGGGAAGATCAATCCGTTATTCCTGGATCCGTAGAGGCTCGGTAGTCGCCATCTTCCTCACGTGTTAGTTTTTTTCTTCCTTTTAATTGCTAATACATGCACGCACGCATGCATTCGTGCATTCGTGTCGACGTGCCTTCGTATTATTTTCGTTTTTCCAATTAATTTATTTATTAGTTGCATGTATGCATCCGTATTGACGTGCCTCGAGGACTCGGGACTCCAAGAAAAATAATGGTGCAGGTCAACATAGAAGTCATACTTGACCCATGTTCCTAAAATAAACCTGACTTATGGCGAATTAGATTATAGACGTACCGTGAGACGTATTTGAGATTGAATTTTGGTTTAGGAGTCTTACATCTTACATGTAAGATCACGAATGATGAAGAGCTTATATAGCACGTGGTGTAGATCGAACGTTTGTTATAGAGCAAGAGTAAGATCACACATAACAGAGGGTTAATATAGCACGGCGTATAGATTGAACAATTATTATAGAATGAGAGCCACCTAAAAAAACTCGCTCTTTTACAATATAATGATGATAAATATAAGACTGAATTTTAAATAGGGAAAAGAGGCGTACTCAACTTTTGAAATAAAACCAAGAGACCGAGGCCTAATTTGGCTTTAGAGGAACCGCCGTGCGACCACTCGATAATTAAAATATGCAAAAAAAAACGAATACAGTGTACTACTGTACTAACGCAATGTTACGTTTTAAATATGTATTTTGGTTTCTCTCTCCCGCCGTGTTAGGCCTCGTTTATTTCTCTCCCTAAAGTTTATTTCCTATTCTATTAAATATTTAGACACATATACAGAGTATTAAATATAGATTAAAAAATAACTAATTACACAATTTATAATTAATTTGTGAGATGAATCTTTTAAATCTAATTAGTCATTGATTTGACAATATGATGCTACAGTAATACATGCGCTAATAACAGATTAATTAGATTTAATAAATTTATCTCACTTATTATTAACGAATTCTATAAATTATTTTTTTATTAATATCGAACACCGCGTGCGACACTCCTATAGTACCTCCAAATTTTTGGATTTAAACAAGGCGGGGCCTTGGTAGTACAGTAGTCGGGGGTGTATAATCACTGCCGCCCTGTCAAAAAAGAAGCTCTCCTGACTGTGGGCTCTCACCAACTGTTCCACCGCAATAATTGTCGGACGGGGCCTTACGCAGCGGCGGCAACAGCACAACTCTCGCCCCGTACTGCTGATCTCTTTCTCTCTCAACCTTTTTATATTACAATAGTGTGCATGTGTACCGTAAAGCAGCACACTGGTATTATATCAGAGCATTCCTCTTTGCAGTCCTGAACAAGTAGCAGGCAGTCAACTCCTACCAAAGACCACCAGGAAAATACCCAAAATACCAGTTACTATTATAGTAGTGGTGGAGGTAGACCCTTTTAGACTATACTACTCCTACTTCGTAGTAGAGAGAGAGAGTCTGTGCGAGAAAGGAGAGAAACAGTTCTCTGAGTGAGTGGTGCGGGAGAAAGAGAGAGGGTGACTGAGCTGAGAGAGTGCCTGCCTGTGCTTCCCTCTTTATATTCCAGGCTTGACCTCTAGACTGATGAGTTTGTTCCTGGCTGCCCGTCTCTCTCTCTCTCTCTACACACAGTCGCTCGTAAGGTCTCAGCTCCCAAGACTCACAAGTCACAAGTATAGAGAAGAGCTCGAGAAACCAAGATGAACAGTGTGCTGTAGAGAGAGAGAGAGAGAGAGAGAGAGAGAGAGAGAGAGACAGAAACAGGAGGCGGCCTGGGTTTTGGAGACATTAATGCTGGCTGGCTCCTCCTGGCTTGCTTCTCTTCTCTATACCCGCCAAAGCCAAGCAAGCAAGCGAGCGAGCACAAGACTACAAGAGGGCGAATAGCAGCAATTTCGGGGTTTTTTTCTTTTCTTTTGGCTGGCTTTGTTTGGGGTTCCCAGCTGAGCTCCCCCGCCCCGCGAGAGGAAAGGAAAGCAAACAAAGGCAGGTCCAGCAGCAGGCAAACGAACCCAACCGACGTAACCGCGGACATGACGGCCGCGTGACGCCATGTCGGCCGAGGAGGGCGCGTCGGCGTCAGCGTCCGCGCCCGCGGCGGAGGCGCCCGCGGCGGAGGGGGCAATGGGGGCCGAGGAGGCGGCGGCCAGGAAGCGCTACGAGGCGCTGGTGCAGGTGCGCGCCAAGGCCATCAAGGGCAAGGGCGCCTGGTACTGGGCGCACCTGGAGCCCGTGCTCGTGCCGCCGCCCGCCTCCGGCCAGCCGCCCAAGATGGCGCGCCTGCGCTGCACGCTCTGCGCCGCCACCTTCTCCGCATCCAACCCGTCGCGCACCGCCTCCGAGCACCTCAAGCGCGGCGCCTGCCCCAACTTCGCGTCGCCGCTGGCGGCCTCGGCGCCGCCCGTCTCCACAGCGCCGCCGCTCGCCATCGCCGCGGCGTCCTCCGTCGTGCCCATCTCCTCCTTCCCGCCGTCGTCGCAGCAGCGCCGCCACTCCACGGGCGGCGGAGGCCGCAAACGCCACGCGCTGGCAGCGGCGTACGCAGCCGTGGAGGCGGCAGCAGCGGCCTCCTCGCAGCACCAGCACGTGGTGGTTGGCGAGCCGGCCATCTACTCCACGCCGCCCACGCCGCCGGCGCTGCCCGCGCCGCGCCAGATCCTCTCGGGCGGCCGCGGCGACCTGGGCGCGCTGGCGCGCCTCGAGGACAGCGTCAAGCGGCTCAAGTCGCCCGTCGCGTCACCGGGGTCGATGCTGCCGCGGCACCAGGCCGAGGCGGCGCTCGCGCTGCTCGCCGACTGGTTCCTCGAATCGTCCGGGAGCGTCTCCCTGGCCGCGGCGGAGCACCCGAAGCTCAAGGCCTTCCTGCGCCAGGTCGGACTGCCGGAGCTGTCGCGCGCCGACCTAACCCGCGGGCGCCTCGACGCGCGCTACGCCGAGGCCCGCGCCGACGCCGCCGCGCGCGTCCGGGACGCGCGCTTCTTCCAGCTCGCCGCGGACGGGTGGCGCGACCAGGTCGTCACGCTCGCCGTCAACCTCCCCAACGGCACGTCCGTCTTCCACCGCGCCGTGCCCATGCCGGCACCGCCGTCGTCCGACTACGCCGAGGAGGTGCTGCTGGACGCCGTGTCGTCCGTCGCGGCCTCCGCCGACCTCCGCCATTGCGCCGGCATCGTCGCCGACCGCTTCGGCTCCAAGGCTCTGCGCGATCTCGAGAGCAAGCACCCGTGGATGGTGAACCTTTCGTGCCAGGCCCACTGCTTGGCACGCCTGGCGAAAGACCTGGCGCGCGAGCTCCCTGTGGTCCACTCCGCCGCCACCAATTGTGCCAAGATGGCCGCCTACTTCAACGCCACTCCGGCCGTGCGCGCGCTGCTGCAGCGGCACCAGGACCAAGAGCTTGGCCACGCTGCTGGGCTCCTCCGCGTCGCCGCCCCGCCGTCGAATGGGAGCGACACCGAAACCAGCGCAGCATTCGCGATGCTCGATGACGTGCTGAACTCTGCACGGCCGCTCCAGCTCTCCGTGCTCGAGGAGCCCTTCAAGCTGCTCTGCATTGACGACTCCACCGCGCGGGAGATCGTGGACATGGTGCACAGCGCGGCGTTCTGGGCGGAGGTGGAGGCGGCGCACTTGCTGGTGAAGCTGATCACCGACATGGTGAAGGAGATGGAGACCGAACGGCCGCTCGTCGGGCAATGCCTCCCGCTCTGGGACGACCTGCGCGGCAAGGTCAGAGGCTGGTGCCGCAAGTTCAACGTGGACGAAGGCATCGCCATGAGCGTGGTGGAGAGGAGGTTCAGGAGGAGCTACCACCCGGCGTGGTCGGCGGCATTCATCCTGGACCCGCTGTACCTCATCAAGGACGTCAGCGGGCGGTACCTCCCGCCGTTCAAGTACCTGACGGCGGAGCAGGAGAAGGACGTGGACAGGCTGATCACGAGGCTGGTGTCGCCGGAGGAGGCGCACCTGGCGATGATGGAGCTGATGAAGTGGCGGTCGGAGGGCCTGGACCCGCTGTACGCGCAGGCGGTGCAGGTCCGGCAGCCCGACCCGGCGACGGGGAAGATGAAGATCGCCAACAAGCAGAGCAGCCGGCTGGTGTGGGAGACGTGCCTCAGCGAGCTCAAGTCGCTGGGCAAGGTGGCCGTGCGGCTCATCTTCCTCCACGCGACCGCGATGGGGTTCAGATGCACGCCGACGATGACGCGGTGGCTGACCGCGCCCGGGACCTCCTCGTCGCGGGGAATCGCCCGCGCGCAACGGCTAGTGTTCGTGGTGGCCAACTCGAAGCTGGAGCGGAAGGACCTGTGGAACGACGACGACAGGGACGCGGAGCTGCTCATGGAGGGAGACGATGACATGCTGACTGATCCGACCACCGCCATTGTGGTTCCCTCATCGGTGTAACAAAATATGTTAATTGTTCTTTCTTTCCTTGTGGATTAATTCTCCGATCCCTGCTTGCAGTTGCACTTGCAGGCAGCTCCCTGCTGCTGTTAGCATCTGTAGAATCTGATGATCCTAGGTCTAGATTCTTTTATTTGATCTTGTTTCGTCTCTTGCCCGTGCTTGTTGCTTGCTCCCTCTTGTTTTGGTGGGGTGGGGAGTAGCCAGGTAGGAGGGGGGGCATGAGATGAGATGATGGAGATAGAGATTGCTTTTCATCATTATCAAAGTGTGCTTAATCAATCAATAAACGGTGGCCCTCTCTCATCTTGTTTCGCCATATAGTATAGTATATGATATGATATTATATACATGTGGTTCTTGGCTTCTTGCTGATTAGTCAATGGATCAATAGGCAGGAAATCGGGAGAGTTTCTTGTGTGTAACGCAAAATGAAAGAGAAATGCTATACAACACATTTATGTTTTAGCAAAAAAAAAAACATATGGTTTTTTTTTTATCTCTCCCTCTATTTTTCACCGGTGACCACCGGCGACCTCGCCCACGCCCGGCGTGCCTCCCCGCGCCCATGCCGGCCATGGAACCGGCGGCGGCGGCGAATCTGGGCGGATCTGTGCGCCGGCCATGGAACCGGCGGCGGCGAATCTGGACGGATCTGTAATTTGTCCTTTCGTAAAAAAAAAAATGTGATGTCTGTAGGTAGAAAAATGGTGGAAGCTGTTGGATCTTGATCTTATAGTGAAAAAAATTGATGTGTTAAAACTGTATAAAATATATAGTTGTGTAGTAGAGAGACTCATAAAACAGGGTAGGTGCTGCATTCTATGGTCGTAACCCGATTCTGGGAGTTTATGCGTTGTCTTCAATAATTCGTATATTTTTTGTGTAAAAATACTAGGCCCTATTCGCTTGAGCTATTTTTCAACCATAGAACGATGTTTTTCTCATACAACGTTTTAGTATTAGCATAAACTAAATTTCAACATAAGCGAACAGCTAACTAGAGCATCTCCAAGAGTTTCCTAAACTCCTTCCTAATCCTAAATTTTTAAAAAGATTAGAAAAAAACTCTCTCCAACAACTCCTAATACTTGTTCCTAAAATTTACGCACTTGGTAAATCTTACAAGTTCCACGTAACTTTACGAGGACGCCACTCGCGCGGATACGGCTTCCTCCTCCACACCTGAAGCCAGCCGGCGGCGCCACCTCGCATGGAAGCGACGACTATGCTTCTTCTGTTCACTCTCCTCCTCGCCGGGCAACGAGGCTGCACCTGCACGGCCTCTGTTGTTGCCGGTGAAGGCGGGTTCAGCGTGGACTTCATCCACCACGACTCCGCCAGTCGCCGTTCCGCCTCCCAGTTGTCCCCGCATGCCCGCTGCAGCAGCGCGTGCAGCCGCGCCGCTTCGCTCGGGGTGAGGTGCTCGGGCGCTCTTACAGTAAGCCGCGTCTCCAGCGGCGCCCAGCGTCCGTGTCCGCCGACGGCGGCGCGTCGAGTCCAAGATCATCACCAGTCGTTCGAGTACCTGATGTACGTGAACGTCGGTACGCCGCCGACGCAGTTGCTCGCCATGTATATGTGTATATTCAAGTAATGCTCTTGGCCGGCTACACGCCTGCCTACACGTCTGTGTTAAGAAGCTTTGCGTTCTGTGTGTCACTGTGACTGTATGTGAATACTGAGTATTGGTGTTTTTTCTTTTAAGAAAGGGGAAAATGTCTACTCCTGGTACATCTTTGGCTGCTGGATCTCAAGCTGCAGCTGCTGGTGCATCTTCGGCTGCTGGATCTCAAGTGCAAGCTGCCGACGACGTGCGCGAGCTCCTCCTCTCAAGCCGCAACATAATTCATGTGGCCCTAAAATTGATTTTCTAGATGTCATTTATTAGAAACTCTTGGAGATGATCTTTTTTTCCTCCCTAAATCTTTTTAGGAGTTACCAAACTATAAGTTTTTAGAAGAAAAAAATAGGGAACTCTTGGAGATGCTCTTGTTGCTTTGCTTTTGCCTCGGTGTAGTCTGTTTCACTGATACCCGCTTTTTTACCACTTCTTGGTGAGAAGCAAACACTAGTAGTAAATTCTCGCCACATCTATAGTAGTATATTCTCACGGAAGGGGGAAACGCAAAAAATAAAGCGTCTATATCTCTTGTTAATTTTGCCAAATTATGACGGCAGTAGTAATATTTAGCGTAGCCAAGTTACCACTATTTACTACAGTAGTAAAGTTATACGGCTTCCATTCTCACTTATAAGATGTTTTGGCTTTTTTAGATGGATAATATTTTGGATTTTTTAGATGGATAAGTTTTGCTATGCACTTAGATTTACACTACGGCTAGGTATATAGATATATATAGTTAAAGCAATATATCTAGATAAATCAAAATGTTTTATAAGAGTGAATAATAAACAAACTAAACTGCTGTCTGAGCGAGAAGAGTTGATTATAGTATTGTTTCTCTTGGTGATGATTACAGGAGCTTTTGGCTCATGTAATGTAACAAAGAACACAAAAAAACGTCTAGTCTTACTCTAGTAGAGCTTGTCTTTCTCTAAAGACAGTGAAGCCATAAAAAAACTCTGCTTCTAGACGAAAACGGCCTGAGTTTCATTACTTTTTATTTGACTTTGCCTTCATAATTCTTTTTTTTTCACGTGTATGTAAGTGTTTTGCAGGGTTCCATCCAAACCACACAAGCAAAAGGCAGTGTTGGTGGGGTGGTATTACTAGCGCAGCATCCATGAACATGATCCATCATTGGTGGCCGGCGGGGATTCCTGTCAATCTGGACAAGGCTCACGTCGCAATAGTGATGGGCGAGGTACATTTGTCTACTCGTAGCGAAAATTCCTTGGCTCTACACGCCCGCCCTTAGACCTGCAGGCGCCTACGCTGGGAGGTCGCACGTACTACAGTGGCGGGTGCTGCTGCACACGCAGACGCCGACGCGGAGCCTACCTATTCTATGCTACTATATACAATGTAGGAGTACACTCCTACTCGATCGCCCATCCCATGACGCGGACGGACGGAGGCGGCTTCCTTGCCGGCTTGCTTGTGCTTGGCGCTGCTGCCTGCTGCTGCTGAACCCTACCTACCTTCTCTACAACAGGACATCAGTGGACTATCACGACGCTCTCTGCACTGCGCTTGACATGTTTGCTGCTAAAAATTTGTAGCCTTGCTTGCAGCAGAGGCGGCGGAGGGAGGGAGGGGCCATTGCATGTGGGTGCTAGTCCTGCGCTGCTGCGCGCGCGCGTAAGTGCTACAGTAACATCCCCGGACCGGGACATTTCAGCCATTGCCCTTCTCTTCTCGGCAAACCCCCAGAAATGGAAGCCACGGCAGCCTAACGTACGCATGCAGCCGCAAGTGTGTGTAGCCATGTACTACCACCAGCTCTCCTCTCTCTGCGTGCGTGTTTTCCTTCATAAAAAAAAAAGCTTTCACAAGCTGATGACGACGAGCGTTTTGGCATCCTCTTGTTTGTTGCCCCTTGAACGAATGAATGCATGGGCGGTAATGCATCCGAGCGAGTGAGATGGATCGTGTTTGTTGCTGCGTTGCATTTTTTACAGGATGGCATGCATAGCCATACAGCATAGCGTAGCCCTAGTACAAATGCATGACTCGTTTTGTGTTGCTATACTGCTCCAGCAAGCTTCTCATCAGAGACTTTCTTTTCTTTCTCTTTCCAATGAAAGGTACTGTTTGCGAGCCTTGTCCCTAGGTCCAGCTGCACCCTCCTGTACCCTGTGCTGTGGTTGCCTCTCCTCTGCTGTCGCTGTCGTGCAATTAAGCCACCAAAGAGAGAGAGGGTATTCCTTTCCTTTGGTAAGGAAAAAAAGAAAAAGAAAAGAAAAGTGGCATGCATGAGATGCAGATTGCAGCAGGAGTAGCTGTGCGTGTGTGTGTACCGTCAGGCTAACGGGACACGCTCCCCCATCCCATTACCATTAGGGAGAAAAGCCTGTTTCGTACGGACCGTTCATAGCTGAGACACACATGGGTTTGTGTGTGTGTGGGTGGGTGGACTGTGGAGCCCTGCAGCCGCTGCTGATGCCTGCTAAGCTTAGGCTCTGAACACACTGATCGCCCAACCCAACCCACCTCCTTCCCTTTCTTTCGATGCTGCAGCAGCTCTATGCAGGCATCAGCGGGATGCACGTGCCTAAGCGTCCAGAGATTGCAGCAGCTAGTGCGCTGATCACAGCGCAGTCAGTGGAGCCTTAATTACTCCCGGCGAGCCAAATTCAATTGCCACCTATGGCCACGGCAGCCACGGCAGGCACCTCGCCTAATTGTAGATTTGACCGCACTATCACCCTGTCAGGTGTCAGCCGTACGTAGAAACCGTCAGCCCACTTGTTGGTCTTAGCTAGGATTATCACTCAGCCCTTGTTTAGTTCCACCCCAATTTCCAAAAAAGTTGCGATGTTTTGCGGTCATTTAAATAATAAATCAAACATTTGGTGGGAAATTCGAACTAATTATCATGTTTGAACACTATTTGTCAAATAAAAACAAAGATGCTACAGTAGCCCCAAAATCCAAATTTCGCGAAGTAAACAAGGGCTCAGCCGACGATGTTTTCCATTTATAATAAATCAGCATCAATCGAACTTATCAGCCAAAAAAACCAACCAGCGAACAGGCTCCCTGATTCCTCGTCACTTCGTTCAGAAATACTACTGTACTCCATCGAATGCACTGGTTTGCAGTACTCCTAGGTTGCAAATTACTGCTAGTATATAAAATATTTTGACTTCTCTAGAAAGCAATGTATCTATATAGAAAAATAAAGATATCTTATAATTTAGAATGAAGAGAGTAATTTATTAGGTCCTCTTTGTCGAAGGAAAAGGCATAGAAATTTCAGAAGAAAATTTCTATTTATTCATTTGGAATATATTAAACATTATATACTCTATGAAAATCCCTTCTTCGTCATCGGAAATTACTACTTTAGATTGTTATTATACTCGGTGCAGAC